CAGAACCCACAGGCATAACACCAGACACAAACATCTCTACGACATTCCCCATGTCCGACTAAACCTTTACAAAAATTCAATGTATGTCAAAGGCCCTAAAATCTGGAACACCCTACCTGAGAACTCTAGAACTGCAGACACATTCATCACCTTCAAAACTACCATTAGAAAACATCTTATCTCCCTGATAAACCCCATCAACTAACTACACGAATACCACCTGGTGGTTCACACTTACACTCACTCACCCATTTGACCATAAACAGAAATCACCCATGCTGCCTTCCCCACCAACCATGCTGTCATCCCCACCACCCACATGGAAATAAGTCACTTTGTCTGACTTTTTTGGTGGAAGATTGATAATCGTCTTGGTTGTCAGGACTATTTCTGGTATCCTGAGTATTGTTTTCGGTCACAAACTCCTCAAAACTACGAGATTCATCTTCACGGACGCTTCACTTTGTGTTAGAACTCTCACTTGGGAAGGGAAGGGAAGAGTCCCAGTTCACCGGGAAGTGAGGTATTTCTTACTGCGAGGCATGATGAATAAGGTGTACTGAAATGGCATTTCCACAATGCCCCACTGGCTCCCAATTTTTTTTATACTGCACACACTGAGCACACAGACCCATTCTCTCACATGCTGGCCTACCAGTTTTCTCCTGCTAGATTCAAAGCCGTTAGAATTTTGGTGTAGTACTACAGCACCAACACTAGATTGTAAGCCATAGTACCATGGCACCAACAGCAAAAGCGTTAAAGTCACCAGCAAGTAACAGGTGGTGGTTATTCATCTCTGAGTCAAGTTATTTTTGTGAGGTAGTCTGTAGACTGCTCCAACTGCTATTTTTTAGGATTTTGAATGTGAATTTGGAAAATATACAGGTCTCCCTCAACATTCGCGTTCGTGAATTCCCAACTGCCAAATTCCCAGCCGCCAAATCATATTTAAGTTTCCCACCACCTATGAGTCCCTAATACCCTTCCTCCAACCCCCGCAACTGGCAGCCAGCCCTCCCGCCACTCAGTATGGTGTTTTGTTTGTTCATTATTTGCTATTGAACTACAGTATAAATAATGTCAACCCATTCATGACTGCATATTGGAATGGCTATTTGGACAGGTATTGGATGGTGACATCATATGTTTACTCTCGAACACAGCAAAGAATCCAACATTTCTGCTACTGCTAATAATAATAATAATAATAATAATAATAATAATAATAATAATAATAAATGATGATAATAATAATGAATGATAATAATAATAATACGATAGAATTGAAGAATGATATTGTACAAAAATACGAGGGTTGAAGCAATGGTGGAGGAAGTGGTTGAGGCATCGTCAGTGTGTCTTTGTTTATGCTGGAGTGAGTATCAGTCTCCGTGCTCTTCCAAACATTTCACAATAATTCATTGTGTTTGGTGCTTGTAGATTGAGTGCAAATGGAGCGGTAGAGGGAGTGGTAGAGGCAGTAGTTGAGGCAGCGGTTGAGGCAGTAGTTGAGGCAATGAGGCAGTGGTTGAGGCAGCAGTTGAGGCAGTGGTAGAGGCAGTGGTAGAGGCAGCGGTTGAGGCAGTGGTATTTAATAACATCATCTTTTTCTTTTAACACACCGGCCATATCCCACCGAGGCGGGGTGGCCCAAAAGGAAAAACGGAAGTTTCTCCTTGTACATTTAGTAATATATACAGGAGAAGGGGTTACAAGTCCCCTTGCTCCTGGCATTTTAGTCGCCTCTTACAACACGCATGGCTTATGGAGGAAGAATTCTGTTCCACTTCCCCATGGAGGTAAAAGGAAATAAACAAGAACAAGAACTAGTAAGAAAATAGAAGAAAACCCAGCGGGGTGTGTATATATATGCTTGTACATGTATGTGTAGTGTGACCTAAGTGTAAGTAGAAGTAGCAAGACGTACCTGAAACCTTGCATGTTTGTGAGACAGAAAAATGGACACCAGCAATCCTACCATCATGTAAAACAATTACAGGCTTTCGTTTTACACTCACTTGGCAGGACGGTAGTACCTCCCTGGGCGGTTGCTGTCTACCAACCTACTACCTAGGATTTAATAACATATTTTTTTTTTTTTTTTTTTTTCAACAAGTCGGCCGTCTCCCACCGAGGCAGGGTGACCCAAAAAAGAAAGAAAATCCCCAAAAAGAAAGTACTTTCATCATCATTCAACACTTTCACCACACTCGCACATTATCACTGTTTTTGCAGAGGTGCTCAGAATACAACAGTCTAGAAGCATACACATATAAAGATACACAACATATCCCTCCAAACTGCCAATATCCCAAACCCCTCCTTTAAAGTGCAGGCATTGTACTTCCCATTTCCAGGACTCAAGTCCGACTATATGAAAATAACCGGTTTCCCTGAATCCCTTCACTAAATATTACCCTGCTCACACTCCAACAGATCGTCAGGTCCCAAGTACCATTCGTCTCCATTCACTCCTATCTAACACGCTCACGCACGCTTGCTGGAAGTCCAAGCCCCTTACCCACAAAACCTCCTTTACCCCCTCTCTCCAACCCTTTCGAGGACGACCCCTACCCCGCCTTCCTTCCCCTATAGATTTATATGCTTTCCATAACATATATGTTATTAATAATAATAATGCATGTTATTATTAATAACATGTATTATCATTATTATTATTAATAACATGTATGTTATTAAATACCACTGTCTCAACCACTGCCTCAACTGCTGCCTCAACCACTGCCTCTACCACTGCCTCTACCACTGTCTCTACCAATGCCTCAACCACTGCCTCAACCACTGCCTCAACCACTGCCTCAACCACTGCCTCTACCACTGCCTCTACCAATGCCTCTACCAATGCCTCTACCAATGCCTCTACCAATGCCTCAACCACTGCCTCTACCACTGCCTCAACCAATGCCTCTACCAATGCCTCTACCAATGCCTCTACCAATGCCTCTACCACTGCCTCTACCACTGCCTCTACCACTCCCTCTACCACTCCCTCTACCACTCCCTCTACCACTCCAGTCACACTCAATCTACAAGCACCAAACACAATGAATTATTGTGAAATGTTTGGAAGAGCACAGAGACTAATACTCACTCCAGCATAAACAAAGCCACACTGACTGACCATGCATCAATCACTTCCTCCACTACTGCTTCAACCCTTGTATTTTTGTACAATTTCCTTCTTCAATTCTATTGTATTAATAATAATAATAATAATATGATAGAACTGAAGAAGGAAACTGTACAACAATACGTGGAGGAAGTGGTTGAGACATCGTGAAGTCAGTGTGGCTTTGTTTATGCTGGAGTGAGCATTAGTCTCTGCTCACTTCCAAACACTTAACAATAATTCATTGTGTTTGGTGCTTGTAGATTGAATGCGACTGCTACATAATTAACCATGAGCCCAAAAAAACTTGCTAGTGCCAGCCCTTTGGTAAAGAAATTGAGAAACACAATAGAATTGAAGAAAGAAATTGTGCCAAAATACGAGCAGTGTACCGCAGTGGTTGAGGCAGTGGTATTTAATAACACACGTTATTAAACCATAACGTGTATGTATTTAGTACAATATTTTACGACGTTTTCATGTATGTATTTTATGATTGTTCGTGGTTCAACAAGCTAAGGAAGCAGTATTGTATTATATTTCCCTACAATATATTGGGGCACCAAACATTCGCGATTTTTCAACATTCACGAGGCTCTTGATCCCCTAACCTTCGTGAACGTTGAGGGAGACCTGTATATTCACCATATTCATTGAAGGAGGAAAAACAAGCAGGGAGATGTGTATTTATAGTGTGTGCACTTCATCCCAGACAAAGACATGCTGGTTGGTTGGTGGTGGGGGAGAGGGTACAAGGAGGAGAGAGGGTACAAGGAGGAGAGAGGGTACAAGGGAGGAGGATTACTGTATGACCAAATATTGGATTTAATTTTTCATCGTGTTTTAAGAAAATTTATTTATTTAGGTAAATGGAGGTTTGGAGAATAGCTTGTATGCTCAGATATTTCATAAAAAAAAGAAGTAAAAAAAAATATGGAACTTTTCACTGATTCTGGGGATTATGACTGAATTTCAGATTTTATTCTTCTCAGTTTTACAGACCAAATTTTTTTAATTTTTGTACATTATTATTTAGTGCACGTGCAGTACTCTCATTTTTCTGGTAAAAAATCATCAATAAACATGGAATTTGCAGTCTCGGAATGCACGGCGATGCTTTACGTGTTATATTGGGTTCACTTTATATGATTTTTGCTTTATGTGCCACAGGCCAGGAATGCATGCATCATGTAAAGTATGGGTCACTTGTACTAATTATACTATAAATGGTATATACAATTCTTAAACAAAAAGGAAAAGTGACAAATATCCTTTCTTATTCAGAATTTTGAGATTAAAAATACGTACTGCCATCTGAGGATTGAGTCTTACTGATGTTCCTTATAGAAATTAATTTGGACAACTCAAGATGTTTTGCAGCAAAACTAATCTTTTGACAAATGTTAATTCACATTGCAAAATATACTGACTAGCAATGACAAGAATCTGAACTATTTCAATTAAACAATTAAATAAATATTTACTAAAAATCCTGCAGAAGTGAAAAAAAAAGCCTGTGAATTAAATTTTTTGTATCTATTGCTAGAAAGACATTAAGGTTGCCAAGAGAGCAGACAGCCTCTAGGAAGACAATGTTTAATACTGTCACATTCAGATATTGATGTGCATGCAAATCTGGAAAGACAGCCAGGGAATGAGTGATGGTTAATATGTTTCCCTTCTTTGAGTTGCATTGCCTTGACAAGAAACAGTTGATTTACTGCAAAAAAAAAAAAAGAAAGATGCTACATAGTGATACACGAGACAGTATACCATGTACAGTACTACATAAACTTCAGACAATGACCACCACACTCACAATGCTAATACTACATAGAACAAGAAGAAATATATTTTCACTACTTACACTAGCGAGAGTGTGGGGTGGAGAAGAGCTAAGAGCATGCAGGACAGGTGTTCTCCTCTTGTTCCCGGGTGACGTAGCAGACATACTGGGCGTTCTCACTAAACTATCCTCAACAACACCATCTAGAGGGCTGACAAAACAAAAATGCAATGATAAAACATAAAAGTGAATTAATAAATGTAATACTGATCCCAGAAAGATGAGAGGAGAGCAAATATGAACCCTGTGACTGCAATGATCATGTGGTTAAAATCAGTGGCAGCTTGTAGCTAAAATTAGTCGAGGTGCTGCTTCAGAAAATTTTTAGCCATTGTTTTAATATTGTGTAAAATGAAACAAGCATATAAAAAGAAAATTTATACATACAGTAGACCGTTATTTAGCACGAGTTTATTTGGCACGGTTTGAGTATAGCATGATAGAAGAATTGCAGCACAATTTTATGTAACACATCGTATGATGAATTTAACACAGTTCAGTTTGCAGGAAGTTAAAAAAAACTTCCATTTTGCTCAAGCGGCCGCCTTGTTGTGGTTCAGCTGGGGAGACCTCCCGCCGTCCCCAGCCACCCTCCGACACCACCCCATCATCAAAGCATTCGTACATCATACGTGCCCAGTCCAACTTCTCTGCTACAAGCTTGTGATTGTGAGTTGTGTTTTGATCTTTTAATTGCTATATCTTGTATCTACCAAGCAGTCATGACACCCAGTAAGAATACCAGTGTTGCTCAAAGTGGCAAGAAAAGGTGCAAACATTTTAAGTCTTAGAATTAACGAACGAAACAAAGATATCAGACAAGACATCCTGTGGCCATAATGAAGTGTTACTTTGTACACATAAAAAAAGGTAAACATAAGTTTGTGTGACTGACTGACTTAGTGACTGACTGCTTACTGAATGATTGACTTACTGAGTGACATGACTGACTTACTGAATGATTTGACTGACTTATGAATGATTTGACTGACTTACTGAATGATTTGACTGAAAGACCTGACTGACTTACTGAATGAATTGATTGACTAACTGAATGACTTGACTGACTTACTGAATGATTGACTGACTTACTGAATGACTTGACTGAATTATTTGACTGACTTACTGAATGACTTGACTGACTTACTGAACGACTTGACTGACTGAATGACTTAAAGTTAGACACTCCAGTACAACCATCAACTTCAGTACCAGAACCTCTACCATCCACCTCAGCCCATTAAGGCCACAGCATAACTCTCCACTCTCTTCACAATCATCCACAAACACCAACACCCACAATTTAAGGTAAGAAATATTATTATTTCTGTTATTTTTGGCAGTCTTAAGCAGTAAAAACAACATAATACATCACAACAATGAACTACAATTGCATATTCACTTTTATTTTTGTAAGATGTGAAGGCCTAGAAAAAAGTTGTTTGGCTTTTTTGGGGCTCTCAGGAATCTAACCCTATTTTTCCCATAAGTTCTTCAGCTCATCTAACACGGTTTTACCTAACACGGTGTTTTCAGGAACGTAACTACTGTGTTAAATGACGGTCTACCGTACATACTTTTTAAGTACAACACACATCACTGAGTCAAACAGAAACACTACCTTACACTTGCACAACAGGATCAGTACTGCATCAGCAACAGTGCTCTCTGTACCTAGCATGCAGCGTCTTATCTTGGACATGTGCGCTTACCCACAACAGCCAAACACCGAGTCGCTGGAACTGTGAAGCACACAGTTCCATACAAGGATTTTTGAAATTTTTTCATGTACTAGGGGATGGCTACTGACATTAAGCTTAAGGATTACATAATGTACAAGTATAAAGAAAGAATTTAAGAAAAAAAACTCATTTTATTGAATGTTATCAATAATATCAAGTGAAAATAGGGGGTGCTGCAGTTTTGCAGTGCCTATACATGAACTGCCACTGGTTACAATGACCATGTGGTTACAATGACCATGTGGTTTCAATGACCATGTGGTTACAATGACTATGTGGTTACAATGACCATGTAGTTACAATGACCCTGTGGTTACAATGACCATGTGGTTACAATGACAATGTAGTTACAATGACAATGTGGCTACAATGCAAGTCTCAACTGGAAAAAATTCTCCAAGGAAAACTAATGCACAAATATACTGTTCTGTGATATTAACCTTAGAATATTGTTATTTCATTTTTAATCAGAGGAATTTTTTTTATATTTATTTATTCAGCATGCAATACCTTAACCCATTCACTGTCACTACATCTGAAATTAAATGTGTTGACAGTATCGCAATTTTTCAAAAAAAAAAAAAAAAAATTCTTCTGAAATTATACAGAATCTTATTCAGAAACTAACACCAAAAATTTGAAATTTGATGGAAAACTTATGAAATTATGCAGATGCCAACTTAAGAGGTTTAGGTGTAATTTATAGCAATTACACTGCTCAGACAAACCCAATACCCAGCTATTTCAGTATACAGGTCCGCCATCACAAATCCAGCAATCAGTTATTCGGTTCCTTCAGTTATTCAGCACTAATTGTGGCTAGCATAATTTCAAATTTCCAGGGTCACCACACCAACCTGCTGGTACTGTTTGGTGGCGCTACTTGCTGCATAAGTCATTCTAATTTCTTTTTCTCCATTTATTGTTATAACCTGCTTACTTTTAGCCCTAGCCATGGTTCCAATGAATAAAAGAAATGCTTCTCGCTGTGTAGTGCACCTACACAGTACATTGTCCATTCAAGATAAGGTGGCTTTGAAGCCACTGTCGGTTGCCATGAGCTCAGTCTCGTGATGCGGGGGAATATGCTTTATTATTATGCTAACATCAACACTACAGCTTATTGCCTACCACAATTGATCTAATATGACATAATAAATAATATAAATAACATAAAACATGTTAAATACTCCAGAATGAATAATATTTGGCATAATATCGAGCAGTTCGACAGAGGTATGAAGAGGATATGGCATACAAATACCATTCTCCTATCCCTGTCTTGGGGGCTTATATTAGAGAAAACGGAGTGTAGCACATGGCTGACTGTGATATACACTCGTCCTGCACCATGAACCTGAAACAAAAAAGTTATTTTCTCTATATAGATTATCACACAGCAGCATACGTGTAGAGAACCTAGGATAACCCAAGAAATTCGGACAACATGGCTTATTTCTAGTACCTGGCTTGGGTTAGCCATATATGATTTTTGGTAAATATTTGATTCCCAGCCAGGGTAGAAACATTGGGCGTGTTCCTTTACACCTGTTGTCTATGTTCACCCATCAGTAAATGGGTACCTGGGTGTTAGCCGACTGGTGTGGGTGTTATCCTGGGACACTGACCTAATTTGCTTGACATACTCTGCATAACAAGCGGCTTTCTATATAGTAGTATGTCACTGATGTCAGCTAGGCCTGTATACATTGTGCATGTACATGTAGTAAATATATTATTATTATTATTATTAGTTATATTCTCAATTGTTTGTTTGGGTATCTTATTGAAACTTGGGCAATGTATGATGGAAGGATACTTCTTAACGTACACAAAAAATTAAAGAAATCAGGCCATAAATAGCAGAGTTCACTTCTCAGCCATTAGCGGCCGCTTAGTGGTATATTTTTGTATGGTTGTTATGGTTATATTCTCATTTTTTCAGTCTCATTTGATAGAATGAAAGATATATTACAGAAATAGATATGATTTTGATTGCTTTTTATGACGAAAAGTACCTTGAAATTGTGCTAACAGCAGCGAAAATGTTCTGTTCTCCAGCGAAGCTAAAGAGTAAACAAATGACGTCACCGTCCAATACCTGTCTGCCTGTGAGTCCAAATTCCAATACGGAGTCAAGAATGGGTTGACATTATTTATACAATTATTACAATAATGCAGCAGTCTGCATAACAGTAAATCTTCTATTTTTTTATGAATAAAAATTCCAAATGGTAAGCAAGAGTAACATAAGAGGGGCCTGGAGCCATGACTAATGGACAGAGAAAATGTTATTTTAGTGCCAGGAATGTCTGCATTGTTTATTCTGGACCCTATTTTGAAATTGGCATCTGTTGAAATTTGTGTGAAATTGGCCAAACTGCCAATTTCTGACCACTATATTGGGTAGTTGAAATAAGTGAATGGGCGGTTTCTTGTACTCAGTCGACAGACTAGAAGTAAATAAGTTTATTCAGGTATACACAAATATAGTTACATAGATTATCATACATAGCAGTGTATGTATAGAGAACCTAGGATAACCCAAAAAAGTCAGACAAAGTGACTTATTTCCAGTACCTGGCTTGGGCTTGCCATATATGATTTTTGGTAAAAAAAATTTTCTCATTTGTTTGTTGGGCTGTCTTATTGAAACTTGGGCAATGTATGATGGAAAGATGCTTCTTAACGTACAACAAAAATAAAAAAGACAGACGATAAATAAGGAAATTCACTTTTCAGCAATTAGCCGCCTCTTTGTAGTATATTTTCGCATGGTTTTTATGGTTGTATTTTCGTTTTTTGGTCTCATTTGATAGAATGGAAGATATATTACAGAAATAGACTTGATTTTGATTGCTTTCATGAAGAAAAGTACCTTGAAATTGATTTCAAAGTAGTGGAAATGTTCGATTTTTGCCAATGTTTAATGAACTTCGTTTAAGTCAAGTTGGTTAATTTTATTAAGTGTATTCTATCCTAACCACTCTGTAATCCGGCAAACTCAGTAATCCGGTACACTACAGGTCCCAATGATGCCGGATTTGTGATGGAGGACCTGTACCTTCTGTTCTATCGAATGAGAACAAGAAACTGGCCATCAGCTATCAGAACTACTACAGTGGAGCCTGGGGTTTTTGCTTCCCGGGTTTTCGTTAAATTTGGTTTTTGACGATTTTTTTCATCAAAATTTTTGTCCCAGTTTTCATTCATCACCTCGGTTTTCGTCGAGTTGACAGTGGTCTGCCGTACCAAATGTGTCCACCCATGCCCACACAAAGCATCCCACACATTCTGAGTCAGTCTGGCTTTGTTTCTCATCGGTAGAGGGTGGTAGTGATGGTGGTAGAGGGTGGTAGTGATGGTGGTAGAGGGTGGTAGTGATGGTGATACAGGGTGGTAGTGATGGTGGTAGCAATGGTGGTAGAGGGTGGTAGTGATGGTGGTAAAGGGTGGTAGTGATGGTGGTAAAGAATGGTAGTGATGGTATGGTGGTAGAGGGTGGTAGCGGTTGTGATGGTGATAGAGGGTAGTGATTGTGGTAGAGGGTGGTAGTGATGGTGGTAGAGATAACTTCTCCTCCCTCTCCCCTCCTCGCCTTCTTCCATACGCCAACAAGAGTCTTCAATAAAAGCATAAGTGATGCTAAATGTTCATTTATCCATTTCATTAGTCCTTTATATTTATTTCTCATTGTTTTCTGTATGTAAAACTATAGTTATTCTCTATAAAATGTATTTTTTGTTAATACTTTTGGGCATCTGGAACAGATTAATTGGCTTTACATTATTTCTTATGGGAAACATTGCTTCTGTTTTCATCAAATTCGGTTTTCGTCAGACTTTCTGGAATGAATTAATGTTGAAAACCGAGGTTCCACTGTATATAAATTGCCCAATTGATAATTAGGCCAATTATACACACACAAAAATATCCAACTTAAAAATAAAGACCAAATAAACACTAAATGCATTCCAGCCACTAAAGCAACCTTCCATATGTTGACTCACGAAATTGTAATGACACGATTGCAAACAAACCATACCCCGGCCGGGATTGAACCCGCGGTCAGAGAGTCTCAAAACTCCAGCCCGTCGCGTTAGCCACTAGACCAGCTAGCCACAATAAGATTCGTCCAACTAGGTATATTTCTACACCATAAGAAGGTTAGCACAGGCACCACTGTGACCACAAATGCAAGTTTTTACAGATGAATCTCCAGCTAGCGTGGCCGTGACGAACTCTAGCTCAAGTCCCTTCACTGCCGTCAACATGACTCACGAAATCGTAATGACACGATTGCAAACAAACCATACCCCGGCCGGGATTGAACCCGCGGTCAGAGAGTCTCAAAACTCCAGCCCGTCGCGTTAGCCACTAGACCAGCTAGCCACAATAAGATTTGTCCAACTAGGTATATTTCTACACCATAGGAAGGTTAGCACAGGCACCACTGTGACCACAAATGCAAGTTTTACAGACGAATCTCCAGCTAGCGTGGCCGTGACGAACTCTAGCTCAAGTCCCTTCACTGCCATCAACATGACTCACGAAATCGTAATGACACGATTGCAAACAAACCATACCCCGGCCGGGATTGAACCCGCAGTCAGAGAGTCTCAAAACTTCAGCCCGTCGCGTTAGCCACTAGACGGCAGTGAAGGGACTTGAGCTAGAGTTCGTCACGGCCATGCTAGCTGGAGATTCGTCTGTAAAAAACTTGCATTTGTGGTCACAGTGGTGCCTGTGCTAACCTTCCTATGGTGTAGAAATATACCTAGTTGGACGAATCTTATTGTGGCTAGCTGGTCTAGTGGCTAATGCGATGGGCTGGAGTTTTGAGACTCTCTGACCGCGGGTTCAATCCCGGCCGGGGTATGGTTTGTTTGCAATCATGTCATTACGATTTCGTGAGTCATGTTGACGGCAGTGAAGGGACTTGAGCTAGAGTTTGTCACGGCCACGCTAGCTGGAGATTCGTCTGTAAAAACTTGCATTTGTGGTCACAGTGGTGCCTGTGCTAACCTTCCTATGGTGTAGAAATATACCTAGTTGGACGAATCTTATTGTGACTAGCTGGTCTAGTGGCTAACGCGACGGGCTGGAGTTTTGAGACTCTCTGACCGCGGGTTCAATCCCGGCCGGGGTATGGTTTCCATATGTTCACTAATAACATTCCCTGGCCTCTCCTATATAACACTTGTGTTATGGGGCTATAGGACCCAACATGTATTTATAAGTAACAGTTACTCTGGAATACCTAATTATATTGAATTGATGGGGACTTTGCTCTAAATGTCAGAAGGACTGATCAACCTTATGACTGAGAGGCAGCTGGGTCAAGCCTATTTTTCTCAATATAATAGGTTATACTATAGACACATAAACACACAATTTAAATAAGTAGTTTATAAAGTTGTATTTCCTTTTGTAAAAGTAAAATTAAGGTGTGGTAGAATTGTGGTAACTGGAGAATTGTGCTTGGCAACAGTCTTTTGTTTTGGTGGGAGGAGCTTAGCCTCTCTCTCTCTCTCCCTCTCACTGACTCGCTCTCTCTGTGGCTGGCCTTCAACCTGGCAGGATCTCTGGGTCCTTCTTCTATCTTTTGGGGCATTATGTGTGCTCCAGGGGTGAGTTTTTATAATTTAAGTTGTGACCACCATACCCAGGGTGACTAAAGTGTGTCAAAACACTGGTTAGCCCAGAGTTATGTCAAGAAGAGAGGACAAAAGTTGTTGAGATACACCATGTGGGAGAACAGCTATGCAGTGTGTAGATCGTTGTTTTGAAAATGTGAGGCTGTAATTGTATATTCTGTACATATCTATTGAGAATACAGTTATATTTTTATAGTAGTAGTTTACATAACCTGTGAAGAGGGCTGGTGAAAAGGTATCAGAGACACTCAGGATGATCAGCCATGATGTAAGTATTACCCCTAGACAAATAAGACCATTAAGTAAAAGCTACCCCACACTAGAACATGTAGTGAGAACCTTACTATCAAAATAATAATAAGGGAAAAGCCAACGTAACAACTTGCCTTCCATTTTCAATCCATCATCACACTAAAAACTTGAAGTTTAACCCTTAAACTGTCCAAATGTAGATCTATGTTTTTTCAACATTTGAAAGTATGTAAAAAAAGTAGATCTTCTTTTCTTTTTTTACATTTGAAAAAGTGTAAAAAAACTTTGATCTACGTTTTTGTTTTTGCTATATTTGAAAATATGTAAAAAAAACATAGATCTACTTTTGGAGCACTACGCATGTGAACATAGATCTGCTTGGACAGTTTAAGGGTTAAGCTTATTTCTCAGCTAATAAACAATAGCCAAGAATGATTGGCCATGGTATAGGTCATCTAAATAATTGAGGTAGACTAGTGAAAACCCATATGACTTGGGGAATGGGGTTGTGGGACCCCTACCCTTCCTCAAGAAAAATGTCAAAAATCTAGGCCTATTTCATTACACTTCCAGTCTGAGACTGATCAAAACCATTTCCGTGTCATGAATAAATCTTTCAGTCAATCAGATGACACCAAGGAATAGCCAATAAGACCATAAAATTTTGCCAGCCTAGAAAACATCTCAGAGTTGCTATTTTAACCCTTTCATTGTCGTGCCATAGTACTACGGGTTTGAGGTCACTGTCAGTGCCATAGTACTATGGGTGTGAGGTCACTGTCAGTGCCATAGTACTATGGGTTTGAGGTCACTGTCAGTGCCATAGTACTATGCCACGAACTCAGCTCACTATCATAAGCTGTGAGCAGTAAATTCGGCCCTAGATATGAAAGAGTTGGTCTATGCGGCAAGTGTGTCCACATAAAAGATCCTGTAGCAAACAGTGCATAATGGGAAAAAGAAAATGCGACCGTGTTTTTGGTTTAAAACGGCAGCTTTGCAGTGTATATTCTTATGTTTTTTATGGTTTCACCCACCGTTTCTTAGTCTCAGTTGATAGAATGGAAGATATATTACAGAAATAGAGATTATTTTGATTGGTTTTAGGACTGAAAATAGATTGAACTGTAGCAGAAATGTTCAAATTTTGAAAATGTTTAGGAGTAAACAAATCACGTCACACATCCAAAACACACAGCTGGTGGGTCTAATATGCGTTCATGAATGCATTGATATTATTTATTTTATTTTAGTGCCAGGAATGCCTGCCTTATTTATTCTGGACCCTATTTTTTAAGTGGAATATTTTTAAATTTGTGTGAAATTGGCCAAATTACCAATTTCTGATCACTTTATTGGGTAGTTGAAACAGGTGATTATGCAATTTCTTGTGCTCAATTGATAAAATGGAAGATGTACTAGCAAAATAGCTAAGAATTTGGTCAACTGGAACAATGTAATTGGCCTAAAATCATACTCAAAGTGGAGGAAATCACCGATGCATAAGTATCGCTGACAAAGCAAAATTCACGAAAGTGTAATTTCATCAGTTTTCCATCAAATTTTGTACTTTTTGTTTTATAACCTTCAGAAAAATATTCTCTACTATTCATAAGAAAAAATAACAATTTATTTGTCTGAAAATTGTGCAACTCTGAGAGCAAGTTTGAGTGCAGGGGTTGCCACCCTGAAAGGGTTAAAGGGTTAAAATATTTTTCAATATAATTATTCTACATAACTGTAAGATAAATACTGACTTACTTCCATGTAATAACAATATTGAGCTTAAGGGAACCAGAAGGGTTGAGGTTGATAGTCATGAGTTGAGGATGAGGTGAGAAGAGGTCCTTAGTCTCACACACCTTATTACCAATCACTACTGTCTTACCCAATACACGTACTTCCACTGCTTTAATCAGTAACTGAAATAAGAAACAAGCTTATTAAACATGAATAATGATGAAGTAACATCACAATTTTAATCTTTCGGTTAGTATTACATTTCAGAAGAGCTTACAACTGTCTTACATGTTTTTATAATTAATTTAAGTTTAATCTTAAGTCTGGCTGGAAAACAGTGCATAACTAAGGGCTTTTCAATGTATAACTGTATAATATACATTGTACCACTTATGTAATGCCATGAAAATTAAACTTTAATTCACTTAAGATTTTTAACACCTGTCCAAAATTTCACTAAAATTATTTTCAGACTATTACATAGTTTGTATTTATTTAACAAGTGTGATCACTAGCAGTGTCACTGGTCTATGAAGACAACCAACAAGAAATGTAATGTGTAATATAATATCTTCTCTAGGTAGTAGGTTGGTAGACAGTAACCACCCAAGAAGGTACTACCGTCCTGCCAAGTGAGTGTAAAATGAAAGCCTGATATTGTTTTACATGATGGTACGATTGCTGGTGTTTTTTTTTTCTGTCTCATAAACATGCAAGATTTCAGGTATGTCTTGTTACTTCTGCTTACACTTAGGTCACACTATACATGCATGTACAGCGGAAATTTGACTGACGAGTGTCCCAATATACAGGTTTTTCAGGATATGAGCCGTTGCTCAGTCAGTTTTTTGCTTTGAGCTACAAGCCAACATCTGAGTTACGAGCGAGTTTTCCCCGCTTCCCCCTCAACCCACAACCCGCACACTGCACTTGTTATCCATGATTTCATGCTTTAATTCCATGGAAATCATCCTCTTTATCTTCTCTGCACTGTCCTTTGCACTTACTTTTTTAGGACCCATGGTTAGAAAAAAGAAATTTGGCCAAATAACTGTAAAAAATGCGAGCAAAGCATGAGAGAAATGCTTCCACTGCTCAGCAGATGTTTTGGCATTGCTGCACCAACTAGTGGCAGTGTTCTGAAGCTCATTACTATTATTATTATTATTAATTTAGGGAAGCTCGCTCGTTCGTTAATATTATTAGAATATTGAAGCCTTGCCCTGCCTTACCACAATGTGTATACTAGTTCGCTTTTTGAATTTGTCGAACCAGCCTCTGCTGGCCTTAAATTCACTAACAGCAGCACTCATTCCAAGCATTTTCTTTACGAGATCCGCATGCAACTGCCTTGCCTTTTCACAAATTATCGCCTCCACAACACTATCTCCCGCTAACCATTTTTTGCCGATCTACACCAACAACAACTTCTCAACATCTTCAATTGTTGAAAGTTAAGACACATGTGCAACATCTGGATATCTTTATTGTAGACGTTTCGCCATCCAGTGGCTTTATCAATACAGATTCTAGGACATAATAGGAAGACAGTAGAACTATATATGTATATAGTTCTACTGTCTTCCTATTATGTCCTAGAATCTGTATTGATAAAGCCACTGGATGGCGAAACATCTACAATAAAGATATCCAGATGTTGCACATGTGTCTTAACTTTCATATTGTCGGTATTTTATACCTTTCTTGCACAACTTGTCAGACACTGCAACATCATGGAATCTTGGTTCAGAGGACATCTACAAGACCTTCTTCACGGCTGCTGCAACTAACCCATCTCTTTGGGAAGGACCTACTTCCACTGGGGAATCCCGCCTACCAGTGACTGCCCTCGTCTGCTGCCCGTCCCTATCCACTGACGCCTATATAACCGCCAGTCTTCTTGCCTTTGCTCCAGATTCTCCTCCACCACGATGCTGTGAACACTAACTCCAAGGCCGAGGGACTGATTACCTCATCTTTTGTATGTAGTTCTACTGTCTTCCTATTATGTCCTAGAATCTGTATTGATAAAGCCACTGGATGGCGAAACATCTACAATAAAGATATCCAGATGTTGCACATGTGTCTTAACTTTCATATTGTCGGTATTTTATACCTTTCTTGCACATCTTCAATTGTTTGTGATTTCTGTTTCATTAGCACATTTACCCTTTTCACAACATCAACTTTGTTGATTCTTTTTTCTTCGGAAGGATGGAACTGATTGTTGATGTGGACTTCTCGTACATTCTGGCGAGATCGGCCATGCGCATGACACTTTCATACTTTGCTACGAGTTCTTTCTTGAATTCTATCATGTTTCTCACTGTCTTTATCAAAGGGCTGGCACTCGAAACTTTCTTTGGCCCCATGGTGGCCTATTTAGCAGTTGCACTCAATAAATAAGCACAAAGAACAATGGATTACAGTGGACCCTCACCCAGCGATGGCATCGATTAACGATAAATCTGACTAGCGATACATTTTAACGCAAAAATTTTGCCTCGTCTAGCGCTTAAAAACCCGACCAGCGCTATTCGTTCCGTACCATACGTGTCCACTTTGGCCTGAGTGTGCCTCATTTGTCCCTTGGTGCCAGTGTTTACAAGCCAGCCAGCCACCGCGGTCGCTTCCAAACATACAACAACTGGAACATTTCATATTATCACAGCCTTTGTAGTGATTGCACCTGCAAAATAAGTCACCATGGGCCCCAAGAAAGCTTCTAGTGCCAACCCTACAGCAAAAAGGGTGAGAATTACTATGGAGATGAAGAAAGAGATCATTGCTAAGTATGAAAGTGGAGTGCGTGTCTCTGAGCTGGTCAGGTTGTATAATAAACCCCAATCAACCATCGCTACTATTGTGGGTAAGAAAACGGCAATCAAGGAAGCTGTTCTTGCCAAAGGTGCAGCTGCTGCTGCACCACAGTCAGCTGTTGTTGTTGCTGCACCACCATCAGCTGTATTACTCGAAGATGTGGAGAGAGTGTTGTTGGTGTGGCTTAACGTGAAACAATTACCGAGAAACGATTAACCCCGGAGGGTTAGCCACCCAGGATAACCCAAGAAAGTCAGTGCATCATCGAGGACTGTCTAACTTATTTTCATTGGGGGTCCTTAATCTTGTCCCCCAGGATGCGACCCACAACAGTTGACTTAACACCCAGGTGAACAGGAAAAAATACCTGGAACTAGTGCTCATATTGGTGAGGTTAGTGGGGAGGATGTGGAAGAGTTGGTGGAGGAGGACAATGACGAACTAACCACTGATGAGCTGCTAGAGCATCTTCAACAGTAAGAGGCCACACCTGAGGAAACTGCTTCGGAGGAGGGGAGAGAGAAATTGAAGAAGCTGCCTACTTCAAAGATTAAGGAAATGTGTGCAATGTGGCTTAAAGTGCAAACCTATTTTGATGAAAACCACCCTCACACAGCTATTGCAAGCCGTGCTGGTGACTATTACACTGACAATGTTGTGAAACACTTTAGGATAAAGGAACGAGAGGTACAGGCCTCTATGGACAGATATGTTGTGTGACAGAAGTCCAGTGACTCTGAAGCTGGTCCTACTGGCATTAAAAGAACAAGGGAAGTAACCCCAGAAAAAGACTTGCTACCTCAAGTGCTAATGGAAGGGGATTCCCCTTCTAAACACTAACAAGATCAATGGTCTCCCCTCCTCCCCTCCCATCAATCATCACCAGATCTTCAATAAAGGTAACTGTGCATGTCTTCTTCAGTTTGTGTGTATTAAAATTAATATTTCATGTGGTAAAATTTTTTTTTTTCAATACTTTGGGGTGTCTTGCACGGATTAATTTGATTTCCATTATTTCTTATGGAGAAAATTAACTTGACTAACGATTATTTTGATTAACGATGAGCTCTCAGGAACGGATTAATATTGCTGGTTGAGGGTCCACTGTATTTCAAAATGTTATCCGAACACGTGTGGTAATGCTCACTCAACAAGAAACAAAGCCAGACTGAATCAGAATGCATGGAATGCTTGGTGTGGGCGCAAGCAGGCAGACACATTTGGTATGGCGGACCATTGTCAACTCTACAAAAACCATACAGATGTACAAAAACTGGGACAAAATTTCAACAAAAAAGTTGTCAAAAACCGAATCCTAAAAAACCAGGGCATACAAAAACTGAGGTTCCGCTGTAATAATAACAATAATTATTATTATACTAATAATAATAATTATAATGAGTGAGCTTCAGTTCCCAGACTTGAGTCCTGGAGATGGGAAGTACAATGTCTACACTCTGAAGGAGGGGTGTTAATGTTGCAGTTTTATAAACTGTAGTGTAAAGCACCCCTCTGGCAAGATGGAGAGAATGATGAAAGGTTTTCTTTTTCGGGTCACTCTGCCTTGGTGGGAATCGGCGGATGTGTTAATAAAATAAAAAATTAAATAAAAATAATAATAATAATAATAATAATAATAATAATAATAATAATAATAATAATAATAATAATAATACCAAGCTTCAGAACACTGCCACTAGTTGGTGCAGTGAATGCCAAAAACATACTCTGAGCAGTGAAAGCATTTCTGTCGTGCTTTGCTTGCATTTTTTACAGTTATTTGGCCAATTTTTTTTTTTCTAACCATGGGTCCTAAGAAAGTAAGTGCAAAGGACAGTGCTGAGAAGAAAAAGAAGATGATTTCCATGGAATTACAGCATGAAATCATAGAGAAACAAGTGAGGCGTGCAGGTCGTTTTCAAGGCAGTACGAGCATAGTAGCAAGTAGCCTATCTTCCACCCTCCACCTCCACGTCCACCCTCCATCTCTGCCAGTGTACGTACAATTTATATAACCATTCTCTATTATGTTTTATTATGCTTTTATACAATATCTCTTATTTATAAATACACTGTTTCAATGTTTTCCTTATGAAACTAGTGATATAGTGCAGTTAGCCTCACAAGCACTCCACTTTCAGAAAGGAAAGAATGGGAAGATATGGTCAGTGCAACAGCAGCAATGGCCGCCACCACCACTGATCACATAATAACATACAGGTCGGCCATCACTAATCCGGCATCACCGGGACCTGTAGTGTGCCGGATTAGTGAGTTTGCCGGATTACAGAGTGGTTAGGTTAGAATACACTTAATTAACCTATCAATAGAGACTCTTTCTCATTTTCATCACTGCTTTCTC